ATTTTGTGTATTTTGATTCAAAATCAAAAGACAGTCAAATTGAAATCACGCAATCAGTTACAATTGCAATTGAAGCAATTGCATTGGGAAAAACTCATAGCTTTTCTCGTGTCCTTAGGAGTCCCAAGGGTATTGACGAGTTGCTAGAAGGCGGAGACGGCGGTGTTAATCTGGAAATGCCGGAAGCCACTGCTTGGGTGGTGTATTGCTTGCCGTTGATCAGGTTTTGCCTCGACGCCAATTGCCGTCCAGCTTCCAGATCTTGAAAGCTCATGATTGCTCCTTCTCTATAAATGTAATTGTTATAAAACCTAACTTTCTCGAGAAAACTTGAGATGGAAGGTTGAGAGAGAGATTCTAAGTTTGGAAGAAGCGAAGATAAGAGAGGCGTAAAGAGTGACAGCAAAAGTTTTGGAATTAAATGGTAGGTAGACTAGTTAACATAGACAGCAGATAAGAAATTCTTTTTAAAAGATACGTGGTAAATAAAAAGAGCCGGTAAAGTTTTTAATTTTCACTGATAGTGGATACTATAATAATCCTACTTTTTTAGTATTTTATTTTCTAATTAACAAGCATGTCAGTTTAAAAAAAAAAGAATCTCAATCTTGCAAATTTTGGTCTATGTCAGCATGAAGAAAGGGAGAAACTAGAGTTTAGTTGATCGCTGTTCGTATTTTGGAAAAAGGATAAAAAAGTCCAATAAATTTCCAAGTCTTAGGCCTCACTTGCAATGCCCATTTTTACGGATGGCAAAACGCAAGTTAACAAAACACCATTGCTAAAACAAAAATAAAAAGCGAAGCCCAGACCCAAAAGTCCAGAACCAGATCCCCAAATTTTGTTTACATTGAAATCCCTAGATCGATCGGTACAATGGCACAACTGGAAGCATTAGATGAATCGAAGAAGAAGAAGCAGAAAAGAAATCACGGGTCTACCAAATTGTTCGTAATGGTGGACTACCTTTTCCTCTTCATCTTCTTCGGTTTTCTCACTTTCACTGTCTTCAAGATGCTTCATTTCTTCTGATTATTCTTCCACTTTTTCCGCCAATCAGGTCATTCTTCCTCTCATTCATTTCTTTCTTTTATTTGATACCCATTTGCCCATTTCTAATGAAAAACGTATTTGCTTTTATAGTTTTTCATGATCTTACCATGCCCATTTAATTAATTGCAACCGTTTTGCTTTTTTCTTCAGGATAATTCTTTACATGTCAGTTTGAGTTCCAAAGCTGAGACGTTTTGAGAGATCGGTTTGTTCCAGAGATTATGTTCTTTAATTATGCTGAATCAATTGGTACTACTGTGTTATCTTTCTTGCAAACACATATATATAAGTAGTTGGCCTTTTTTATTTAGAACAGAACAATTGCAAGTTCCTTGCCTGAAAGTTACTTGAGTAATAACACTTTGGGAACCAAATTATTAGAAGATTGTGTTTATTAGCTGCTTTTCTTTTTTTTTTTTTATCTTTAAGTAATTATTATATCCAATTTTCTGCACATTTTCAGTCTCAGCGGGGGAATGATGAATGTAATTTTACAGTCGGTAGTCCCGGGTATAAGTTTGATGCCGTTGTTTCAGAACCGCCCAATGTTCATTCGGTTATTGTATATAGGTGTCGTTCAGGAGGCCTGAGGTTCAAAATCCACACTTGCAACTCTTTCTTCTATCCCATCTCACATTACTATCTTCTTTATACCAAAAATTAAAAAAAAAAAAAAATGGTCCATGTAGAACATTTCTACATGCGGGAGTTGTTAGCTTTGTTGATGATGCAGGTAAGCACTCCTTTCAGCAATTTATTTGACCTAAAAGTTTGAAGCTAATTAAGTTGCTTTAATAAGAACCAACAAGTTTATCAGGTAATACAATAGTTGAAAGGAATCAAATCACCAATCTGCTCTATGTGGGACTGTGAGTATACTTGTATTTTTCTTCTTATTGCTCCCTTTTCCTCTTTTGGCTACATTGTTATGTCAATTTTCTGTTGAAAAGACTTAAAAGAGGGTCTAATTGTTTCTTCATTTAGTCAGTGATTAGCGGCTTTGTATTCTCTTCAGCTGTCTCTTTTCATTTTCACATTGGACACATTGGACCCACTCTTAGGTGTGAAAGCATTCCGATCTAAAATTGATCAACCTTTCAATTATTGACATGGAAAAGTATGTTTTAGGGCTATGAATTTTCTTTTAATACTGTCATGTATCTTATCTCGTTGAAGTTTATGAACTGTATATTGAGTAGCATACTTTTTGGAGAATATTAATCTCTCTTCATCGCGCTCGCAGACACATTTGAATACACTGATGCTGGCCTGTTATAATACTCGTGGTCAAGGGTTTTTTTCTTTTTATATAAAAAAAAAAACCATAATTTAAGAATAGAACAAAAATTTATAGACGCTGGGATTCGAATTAAATATTATTTTTTAAATTTGATAGCATAAAGCAATTGAATTAAATTTATGGACATGGACAAGTTTAAATACTCCACTCCTCCTTGACATTTCCAATGACCAAATAAATTTATATTTAAGCGTGCAAGCTAGTAGCATCCGTAGGATGTGAAATGATTCAATTAAGAAAGTAGGGTAATAGGCATGGACCACAATTAATATGGAAATCGAAGTACATGATTACTTGGCAACAAATTGTTTCCAAATGGAAAATGCAAGAGAAGACTCTGGACGCAATGGAAATAACAAACTAAAACGCTCTGCATCTACACTCTTGTTTTATCCTGAGCACCGTAAAGGTTACAAATCCTAGACTCCACTAAAATGACAAACTCGAATTCATATCACATTAAATACGTGAATACGATAGACTGGAATGAATACAAGGGGCCCCTAAAGACTCCATCTAGGCAACTAATTGCCTTTCTTTTCTATTTGATTACAAGTTTCATTGACGAACATGCTCAAGGATGTGGGTGTGTTCCTGCACTGCCAGCACAAAGGTCAGGAACTGGCACCTCAAAGCCAGGGTTTGGATCAAATGTGTCATCACCACCTGGAATATGACCTGTTCCACCACTTCCGCCGCCGCTGCTGCCAGTGTATGGATTGTGGTGTTTCAAAATTGGTGGCAGGTACACTCGTCCAAGGCCTGGAATGAGCACGCTGCGGTCATGGTGAGTCAGCCACTCGGGCTGTTTCATTTGATCATCATTCTTTGGGTTTCTTGGGATGTCACGTTTTGCAACTGCTTGCCCAGCAATAGCAATCAGAATGCTGACGAGGAAAACTTGAGCAAGAAGCAAGGAACTAATTTTATAAGCCATTATCAGAGAACTATTGAGAGTTGAGAAAGAAGAGATAGGATTGGTTCTTGAATGGTGGAAAGAGGAAAGAGAATATAGGTGAGGTTTTAAGTGAGTTGGTTGATCATTTGGCGGTGAGTTAAAAGAGGGTTCCATTGTGAAAATACCATTGAAGGAGACGTTGCAAAAACAAAAACACAAGCTACCACGCAATTATGTAGCATGCATAGGAAGGTGGGGCTAGGTGTTGCCTGGATGGGTGAGACTTTGTAGTTAGTTATGAGATTTTCTTCTTCAAGGCTATTGTAATTTGCATGTATAAGATTTCTGGTAAACAAAGCTGAAAATTTGGAGCTTGGTTTGCGCTTTTGGAAGTAAAATGTCGTTTATACTTTTACTTCTACTTCATACATTTTCAATACGGATGCTTTTTTTTTTTTTAATAGAAGAGGTCACAACTTAAAAATAAAGAAGAATTATAGGTGTTGGGATTTGATCTTCTAACCTACTGAATGCTTTTTTTTAAAATGATATACATAAATCAATTAAGTTAAATTATAAATTTAAAAAAAAATTTATATGAAATTTTATAAGTGAAGTTCATGAAGTAAATGAGTAAATAAAAATTAAAATCGAAAATTAAAACCGATAAATTAAAAGATCTTATCACATAAATCAACCGTACAAATTTTAACAAATTTTGATATATTTATTAAATATATATTTTTAATAAAAATATTAATAAAATTTTTACTATTGAATAAATATCGATCAAATTTAAATTATAAATAATTTTTTATATATTATTAAATTTTTACATTAAATTTTATTAATTTACCAGTTTAAATTTTTTATTTATTTATTTTTAATAAAAAAATTTTCTAAACTTCATGTAAATTTTATCCCTAGATTTGACTACTATAGTTTGATTATTTCCATTTCTATCACCAACAGCACTACGGCTATTTAAGTGAATATGTAATTCTAGCAGATTATCTACCTAACCTCTTCACCCACTATCATTCTTAGAACATCAAGTTGTTCCTATTCAATGCGTTTAATCCAATTGTTTTATATACCGGCAATAAAGGATTTATATCAAAGCCCAAGTGTTTAACCAATTCTACTGCTAAGAAGAATATATCCAATGCGAGTAAAAATATTGGTGTGATGGACGTTCTCTATTATGAATTTGTCACTATATAATTCACCGAAAAAGACTCGAACTGAACTTAACCTCTGGACTGCTTTGGTATTCCATTACTTCAAAATGTCATTCTAATTCTCAGCCATATTCTTTATTTTCAATTAATTTATACTAGAGATTGAAAAGTTCCAATTTTCTAAAACATTAATTTGGCCTTTTCCCTCGTGATTCAGTTCACTTTTGCAAGATTCTTAAGGCAATAAATTTAGTAGCACAGGGGTTGAAACTAGGGGGCTAGAGCAAAAATTGGTCAAGGCCTGTATATAGGACAACGGAGTGATGCATCGTGCATCTCATTGACAAACGGCAGCCTTGAATTCATGTCATCTACATTTTATAGGCTCTCCGAGTCTCTTTGGGTTGAATTTTCTTTAATTTCCCAGCGCCCAAGAAGTCTCAGGACTTGATTATTCATATTAAAGTCAACAGTTGGTTGATCATGCAAAATGATTGAATGCAACCAGAGTTTGGATATTTATAGGGAGTGGAATCAAATTTAGCAGAACTGTACTGATCGAGTGCAATAACTTTAACAAAGCCTTTTTTTTCCCTAAAATCTTACTGTTCAATACAACAGATCAAATTGCTGTTCCAATGGATTTTACTCGCACAACATGAACACATTAGCCACCAATTAACAAGGACTACCTTTTCCTTGCAAAATAATACAACAAAAGCAGTCCAGTTTGGTTACTACAGAAAACAAAATTTATGGGTTTGGCCTTTCCTCGGAAAATCTTGGAAGCTGGACGAGTGAGTTCACTCGTGTGACACCTTCCAAACCTGACCAGTTTTGATCTTCACCTGCAACTATATCAACATCTCCTTCAAACTCTGGTGCTAGTCTTCCGTAACTATCACTTTCTTCTGATGATCTAACGGTAAAATTCCTATGCAAAGACGGCTCCAACTTCTGACCATCATCAGATTCAACAGCATTACAGGAATGATTACTCTGAAGGGTTGCAGAAGAAAAGCCTTGTTCCTCAAAATCGGATTCTGAGTCCATTTTCCCATCCAAAAATAAGCAAACAACTGCACAATCATCCACCTTTGAAGTAGGGTACTTTAATTTCCATTCCCGTGCAGCTGAGTCAACCAAAATCCTGGCAGCCGATGACCGGGTAGGAGCTGAGGATACAATATCAACCACCTCTTCATTGCTCAATACATCCCAAACCTGTAATAACAAATTCAAAATTAAGAAAAAAGGTCATATTATCTTCTATTTTGCCATATCACGGCAAGCCAGCTTTTCTTGGAGGATTAGAAGCCTCCAAAAAAAGGTTATTAATATTAAATCTTCATATTTAATATCACATGGCTTTTTTCCTTTTTATTAGTGAAATTCCTCAGTTTTCCAATGTATTGGCTCTTGACCTTTAGCTACTGTACCCAATAAGGAATCTGTTATCAAAAGATATCTATTTACATAGTAACCAATCTGTGACCGATCATATATCATTACAGCAGATGATCGGTCGTTTTATAGCAAAACCAACAGAGAAGGAAACAAACAGAACTAATCTTCCATACCATATTGACATTTAGAACAAGAACTGGAGAAGTGAAAAGGGAAAAAGAAAAAGATATTAATCTGTTATAAGGACCATTATCAACCACTTACCCTCAATCTTAATGTTGATGTTACTATCTCATAAAGTTCCAAGTGCAGGAGCACTCCTAATAAACCATGTATTAAGTTCCTAGGTTACAGTTTTAAACCTAAATAGAGCCCATGGAGAATGATAACACCAAACTTTTACCATTAAGTGGATCTTTCCAAGAATTCTATTCCATGTCTTCCACTTTTACTCCATTAAAGTTTGATGATAAAAAGATTCATGACAAAGTTCTTATTACCCCAACTATTTCCTCGTATTACATCTCTTCAAGAATATCCAGTTCATATGCCATTGCCCTTCTTTGGGCTTAAGGCATAGTAAAATTGAAGGTCTAGATTAAAGGATAGTCTTACTATTTAAAAAACAATATCAGCAATGACCCACACTTGTTACCCACCATCAAAAACTGATTCAAAAAGCCCATCAACATATTCTTTCTTCCCTTGAAAAATTAGAGGACCTATTAAATAATCACCATGAGCAGTGGACCAAGCAACTGAAAAAGAAACTGATTGGCTCCTTTAGGTTGATTTTATAATACTTCTTTCCTACAGTAGTTGCCTGTGGATGGTAAAAGTTTTGTATTTATCTGTTACTCTACCGTTTTATGTGTTGCAGCATTTAGAAATTCTTATATAACACCCAAACCGCTTCTGAATTTCCTACAGTACTAATTGTTGTCTAAACTTGTAGTACTGTTTGTTTAAATTGTGATTCTTTAGGGAAATTCTTGTTCTTGGCAACATTTTTGTTGCATTTGAGCTTTCCTTTTTTTACTCAATAGAATTTAAGATACACCAGAGAAGGTTCTGGTCAAACTTGAATCAAAGAAATGAGCAAATAAAATTCACATATAAAGAATGAATGAAAGATCAGTGGTGAAAAAATTACCCCATCTGAGGCAAGAACAATAAATTTATCTCTCTCTGTAAGGGGCCGGTGGGAAAATTCAGGTATAGAGATAACACCATATTCCTTCAAACAAAAATCCCCAAAAGCTCGAGCCATTGCTAGGCCAGGAGCATCATCAAATGGCAAACCACACTCTAGGTACTTCAGGTTCATCTTGCAATGCAAACACCCTACCTTTGCACCTTTTAATCCTTTCAGCTTCCCCTGGAGCATTTAAATTTAGCATTTAGTATATTACATCCATTTAAGCATGCCTACAAGGGGAAAAAAAATTTTTTGGTCTGAGTTGTACTTGGTAAATCAGGCTTCAGATCAACTGTCAATTGTATTGCCACCATTGAATCGTTGCTGTCCTTAGATCCCATAATTGCTCGAGAATCGCCAATATACCCCACAAAAAGATTGGAGCCCTAAATAATAAAATCAACCCACATGAATTAGACAAAAGCTAGAGAAATAGAAATTGAAGATGAAGAGCGGCAACCATTGCTTCTTTCATACCTGTTTCACTATAGTAACAGCAGTGCTACCACTACAGAAACAGTCCAAATTAGGATGGGACCTCAACTCTTTATCCATGGCCTTGTATGACTTCATGAATGCTTCCCTCCATAAAGAATTTAATGTATCCTCAGCATAGCCATCCTTCTCAGAATCTCCAACATCTGATTTATTTGAATCGCCCTTGAAACATGTTCTGCCTGACCCATTTTGCCTTGACTGATAAGTATCCATGGAGGACAGCAACTTAAAGGGCAGGGAATCTCTCACCTTACGAGCAACAAGATGACCATGAGGACCATGTCCATCAAAGACACCACAGAAGGTCACATCTTCTGACATGAAATCCTACAGGAATTGTAGTTTTATCAATGACATCGAGCACTTAAAATATAAACGAACCTCAGAATCAAAGGATCTCAAATTCAAAGTAACGTCTAAAACTTACTTCCCATACAATCATGGCATCCTGGTTTATTCCCTTGCGACCCTGCTGAGTGAATATGCAAGATGTTCTGCTCTTTCCATTTGTGAAAATCCTGTTTGGTACTGAGTGTAAATGCTGCAGTGCAATAACATGATCTGAGAATGTTCTCTTCTGCCCACAGAATCCAATTTCAAAGCACGTAGGAGAAAACCCCTCCCCATGGCTCCTGGTACTGGAAGTACTCCGACGACGAGTGGAGACACAGCAACCCATGTCCTCAGCTCCAGGAAGAAGACATTTGATGATGCTAAAAGGACTAGGTTCCTCCTCCAGCCAGTACCGATCTCATGTGAAATTATATGCAGTTTCTGGAATGGTCAACCAAACCAAAGACTATCACACCAAAGATTCCGGCACATCAGACCTCGGGCCACTTTACACCGCAAATGTATCGATTAGGAATCTTTAAAACTTGGTCAAATATAATTCATTGAGGGTTCCTTAGATGGATAACAAAACCAGCTGAATAAAAGAAGAAGATATTAGTTAATTGATTTGTTTATTCCATGGTTCCAGAAATAGCTGCATGTAAAAAAAAAATCAATAAAATGCATATAAAACTCTTCCATGTGACATCGGAATAGAATATACTTAAAGTCTGTCCTAATAGTTTGTTATTGATAAGAAACACATTGATACAATTCAGATGGTGAGACCTTTTGCAAATTTATCTACAAACTATTATAGAAAAAGGAAAGGCAGTAAAGACAGAGAGTCAGCAAAACAAGGAGAATATAAACCAAGAATAAACCCAAAACAAGAAACATGTATTGTTTTTGAAAAAATTAAAGCAAACCAGGGATTTTTTCCCCCAATATCATTTTCGATCACAATTAAAACCCATCTGCATTCTCAAACAGAGAAGAAAAAACGTAAATTCAACAAGATCTCACTTAACAAACATCAAGCAAACGTCTCACTCACAAAGGCCTATAAGAAACAGTGTCCTTTTTTTTTTTCTTTTTATATTCTTATTTATGCTAGGAAATTACGACTAGTATCAATAGAATGAGATATCGAGCAGAAAACAAAATTAAAAGCATTGAATCTGAAGATCATGCTTGAAGCTTTACCTTCTCCGCTCGCAAAGAGAGATTAGAACAAAGAGTGAAGGCTAGTTGAGAAAACGTATTAAAAGAAATGAAATTACAAATTTAAGAAACAAATATTACATTATAGGAAATTTTACTTAAATAAGGCCAAAAAAAAAGAAGCTGAGCTTGATAAAGTTTGATATAAAGAATGTCAATCGGGGGAAAACCAAGAAAGAAAAAACTAGAGGAAAAATGAAGAAGTTGATTTTAGTTTTCTCAGACCATAGTTTGAGAAGTGAGTTGGGGGAAAACCAAAAGAAGGAGATAAAGCAAAAAACGGAAAAAGCAGAAAAAGACTAAACAAAATAATGATTTAGTCACAAATAGAATCAAGAGAACACAAAATAGAGATATAGCAGAATAGACAAATCGAATTCAACGTTTTGTTAACTCAAAAAGAAGATTTAAAAAAAGACAACAATGTAGAGATAAAGCACAGTTGAAAGTTGAAACTTTCCACTGTTTAGAAATTCAAAAAAAAAAAAAAAAAACCTATTTCTTCTTTTCTTTTCTCTTTGCTTTGTGCTTTACCTGAAGTTTTCAGAAGAAAGGAAAAAGGATCTTACAAGCTTATAAGAAGCTAGAAGCTTTGTTGCATGGCTAGTGTTTTGTTTTAGTTTAGCTAAAATAAACGGTCCAAAAGAACCCAGAATTAAAAAAAAAAAAAAAATTGACAGACGAAATTTAGTGAATGAGAGGTGTTTAAGGTTATGAGTTAGCAGAGAGAAAAACCAAAAATGAAAGAAAGTACCTTCGTTGTTTGCAAAATTTCACGTTTCTTTGCAAGAAGCATAAGCACAAGCACAAGCAGTAGCAGAAGCTGAGCACCAGATTTGGGGGGGAGAGAGAGAGAGAGAAGAGAGGTGATAATAATTACAAGGAGTCAGCGTGTCAGAGAGATTGGTGCATTCATTGATTGCAAAAGCAGAGAAAAAAAAGAGAGAGAGAGAGAGAGAGAGCAAAAGAGGAAGTCTTTGTAGTCAGCAAAGGAGAGAATTTTATGATTTTCTCTTTTTATTTTAGGGCCCCAAAATTTCAAACAAAAAGTCGGGGATGAGATTTGAGGTGGGCGGCAGCCGGCAGTTACTCACACTGGGGTTGGGTAACTAGGGTTTGGGGTTGCTATTGGGGGGTTTGGTTTGTATGTGGCACTGTAGCTGTACTCCCCCACCCGTAATGGATAATTTATCTCCTTGCACATTTCCGATGGACGAGATCATTTAAAATACAATAAAAATTTATATATTTTATATTTTTTATATCAACATAAATTATAACATATAATTTTTATATAAAAATACACAAATTGTCTACGGTTCCAAACTCTGTTGCTCCTGACCGCGTACACCGAACAATAGTTACATGGGAGAGCGTTTCGTGTTAATCTCTGTACCATTCTTTTCAAAAAAAAAAAAGGTTTAATGGAAAAGTAAATACAACGGACGAGCTAATGACATTTTAATTTTACAAATCATCTAGCTCATAGTTTTATTCATCACTCTAAGTCATAAAAATATGAATAAAATTTTTAATAATTCATTCACAACAAAAATAGTAATTAGTAAAATTGCATTCAATTTATAAATTTTATTAAAATTAACATATTGAAAGTATTTTCAATACAATTAATATATAACATATATATAACCAAAATTGTTGAAAAAAAAAATTGAACTCAAGCAAAATTTTAAATTGTTGAAAAAATCTTTTGGACTCATTTTTTATTTATTATATTTTTAAATTATCGTTTTTAGCTATTTTATGTTAAATAGATATTAATAATATTACATCCAATTTATAAATAAGAATTCTAATATCATTAAAAGACTTTCTTCAAATGAATTTATTTAATTAATAATATTTATCCGATTTATAACTAAGATCCTAATTCAATGTAAGCTTTATATGCATGTTAATGCAATTTTTTATTAATAATTTTTGTTATTTGTACACAATATATGCTTAATATATAACTAATATTTAGAAATAAATAAAAATAAAATATTCACGTATAACATATTTAACAACAAAAATTAATATATTTAACAGTACGGATGTTAGAAAACTTTTGAACTAACCAAAATGAATATTTTTCTTTATTATATTTCTATTTTTTATTTAAATATTTTATGTTATAAATATAAATAATATTAATCCAATTTTTAACCAAGAATTTTAATGAAATATTTTTATTAAATTAATTTATTTGATTAAAAAGATTTATCAATTCATAAGTAAAAATTTTAATTCAATATAAACTTTACATAAATACTAGGAGAAATTACCAAATGCATTAATAATGAAGTTTTTTTAATTTCACTAGTGGAATTAATATACATGTTTTTAATATTATATTTAAAAATAAAAATAATTAATTAAAAATACCACATATCACCCTATTAAGCTATTTTTTAAATTAAAATTTTATTGATAATATATCAAATAATTTACCAAATAATAGTGCAAGTTTTCTGTTAATATATAAATTTAAGTTATTTGCACACGATACATGTAATTACATGTTTAATAGATAATTATTATTTAAAATAAATTAAAAAATTCAGGTTCAATAAATGTGATAATAAAAATTAATATATAAAAATATCAATAAAAGTTTTGATGGCCAAAATAGTACAAGGATTTACTATCATTCTTTTTGTCTGAATCTTTTATCAATTTTCACATAATTTTTTTTTAAATTGATTTTTGTGTATATAATATTAAAATTTTTATTTTTATAAATTTAATTTTTCACAATTTTTAATAACAAGAATATAAAATAAAATAATCTTGAAAAATTATAATTAAAAACAAACGAAACGAAAGGAATATCAATTTAGGTTAAATATTTTTAATTATTAATTATTTTTGGATGGGAATCTTTTCCGATGCTAGAAAATTTTAAATAAAAGATAATAAATATGCTGATTTTATTAAAAATAATTACTTTGACGACAACAACAATTTCCTTTCCGATTTAAACTAATCATTGAGATTTTACTAAAGTAAAAATTTCCACAAAACAAGCAAAGCACGCGCTAATGGGGGTAGGTGAGAAACTGAGCCAAACGTGAAACTGGATAAAAGGAAATCAACTGACACGCGGACCTTGGGGACCGCCTGACATGGTACTCAAAATTAGTACTGTGCATTTTTCTTCCTCCATTTTTTATAGTGTTCTTTTGTCTAAAAATAATTGTTTTTATTAATTCTTTATTAAAATAGTTCTTTTTTATCTTATTTTTGGAAATATAATATTAAATTATAATTTTTAAAAAATATATTTCAAAAAATTTGAAATTCAAAAATTATAAATTTTATTTCAATTTTTTTTTGAATTTTATTATTTTATTTAAAATAATGATTAAAATTAAATTAATTTAACTTTAAAAAATAATAATTTTAGGACAGAAAGAGTAATATTAACAAATATAAATAAGAAAATAATTTTTCCAAAAATTAAGAAATTTTATTTGTTTATATAATTAATTTTGGTCATTTTGATCAAAACTTTACTCTTCCGAAAAGGTCTCTGTCACACCTTTTTTCGGCTTTTGTGTTTCTTCTTTATTTTTTATAATTTTTAGTTTATAAATTTTTATTTTTTTTTGAAAAATTAAAAATTTTAAAGTCAGACTTATTTTACATCATGCTTTTTTTGCCTTTTTTTACCACTTTTTTTATTATTTTAAAATTTTAATTAATATTTTTAAAAATTTATTTTTATGAGAGTCATTTGATATTAATGATACCTCAAGTATTTGATTTTTTTATTAATAAAAAAAAATCAATATTTAATAAATTTTTATTCATCTTAATTTAGATATTTTTTGTAATATTTGATATCAAAACAATTCCAGTCGGTTTTTTATAAAATTTTAAGAATGATAAAAAATAAATGTATAATGTTTTATCTCAAATCATTTTATGGTATATATAAAATATATTTTTTATTATATATTTATATATATGTATTTACTTTTTTAAAACTTGATATAAGTACATTCCACACGCAAAAAATAAAATAAAAAAATTTTATTTTTTATAAAATATATATTTTTTAGAATAAGAGGTTATTTTATGTATATGTATGTCACTCTAATTTGAGGTTTTTTTTTTTTTACCTTTCATTTTTTTATTTTTTTTAATAAGTAAATTTTTAACAAAAAAATTGATGAATAAAAAAGACAAAACATAAAAACCTTAACTTGCGACAACATGCTAATACACACCTAATAATATTTTTAATTTTGATAATTAAACTATTTTAGATGAAGGGCTTAAGTTGGAGGTAACCATTTGCCTTGTTTTTGTGGGAGTGTATCTCCAAGCAAAACAAAAACATGCTAGAATTTATTTAAACTTTAAAAATTTTTTATATGATACATATATTATTAATTTATTAATTAAAATAATATTTAAAAAATTATTTATTTATCATTTATCATCATTTAAAATTTATCACATTAAATATAAATATCACATTAATTAATAAATTTATAATTTAATTCTCATATTATAAATTTTTAAAATCAAAATATTATATTAAATATTTTATTATAATTTAAATATATTTTTAAAATAAAACCTTACCACAATGATTAGTTAACATCCATGCACATTCTTTTTTTTTTTTTTAATTTCCTCCAATCATATGTCATTATGACTTCTCTACCAATCAATCTTATTTAACTTTTTTTTTTTTGGTGTAATTTCTCCTAAGTAGTTTTATTTCATAAAGAAGAATTCTTTTTTTCATACGTCATAAAATAATCGATATTATATAAAAACTACAGCGTTTGTATAATATTTTTAATTATATTATTTTTAATATATTCTACCAAAAGAATATAATAATATTTAATCTGATTGATAAAACTTAAAAACTCCGTCAATAATGTATAAAAGAATTTTTATAATAAAATAAACAAAAAATTTAAGACCAAATATACCACTACTCCCCTAATAATCTAAATCAGATACCATGACACATCAAGGAGGAAGGGGCGAAGGTTTAGAGTTAGAGCCCTAAGGAGTAAAAATTTTAACATAAAAATATGAAATAATGGAATGAAGCGATATTAAAATAATGGAATTATTAAAATATATAATTCATAAAAATTAAGTAACATGCTCGATATTTTATATCAAAAAGATATTTGAGTTTTGAGCATCAATTAAAATACTTTAATCTTATAATTCATTAATGAAGAACAACCATCCTCCTTCAAAGAACCCATTTCTCCATATTCCTTTGACTTTAGCAAACCATAGACTATTTTATTCCTAAAAATATCATTTGAAAGCTAATTAAGTTACAAGTTGTACTGTTGATTACATTTCTGGCCAATAAAGGAAAAAACTGTTTCTAATATGTTAATCTTGGAAACCTATTAATATAATATAAAAGTATATTTCCCAAATTGGAAAAAAATACAAGTTCGGCATGACTTCAAACCTTTCAGGGTTGATAATTAAGATACATAAATAAATAAATAAACATATATATATATTTATCAAGTTTGAACTTTAAATCACAAATTAATTACTTCATTTATCTAATGATAGATTTCATTTAAAGCCGAGGCTTTTCTTAACACTAAATTTTAAGAGGGATAATTAAAGAAAAGATTGAGATGATCTCAACTTCAAGTATCGAATTCAGAATATGCACAAACCAACTAGGGGATGAGATGTGGGAAAGACTTAAAAAGAAATTTTTTAAATGAAATTTGCGAAATTTTTTATTAAAAATGATTAAATAGAAATTAAAATAAAAAATTAATAAATTGAAAGATTATGTTACACAAATCACGTGCATAAATTTTAAAAATTTTTGATATATTTTATATAAATATTTTTAGTAATATTGAATAATTTTTTTACTATTTAATAAGTATCGATTAAATTTGAATTATAAATAATATTTTTTATAATTTTTTATGTATTATTGATCTTCATATTAAATTCTATTAATTTATGTATTTAGATTTTCTTATTAAAATTTTTATTAAAT